AAAGAGAAAACGTTTTAATTTCTACCAATCAAATTTAGGAACTTTAGATTCAACCAATCATAATTAAGTAACAACAAATCATTCAATATACAGTAGGTACAACAACAAGAATGCAGGTTTGTAATATTTTTGTCAAATTTACTGAATTATAAATACTATTCCTTACTCTTAACCGTATAACACTTATTGTATTTAGATACATATCTTGTCTTAGTATCGTTTACAGGTTAATTTTTTCCGAAACTTGAAGCTCTTAGCTGCTAACAATAAAAATAGCGTTTCAAGAGTCCTAGAAACAAAGAGTAGTCTTGTTTAGTGCAGTAAGCACTTTGAGACACTTGCATTTGCTGAACGTCTTTAGTTTGTAATACTCCCTCTATTTGCAGCTATTCGACATCTTTGGTGTAGGACAGAGGCAACGAAATGTCATTACATTTTTTATACAAACAGTGTTTCTACCGTCAAACGACGGTCGTGTTTCGATTCCCATAGCAGACGTTCATGGGATGGAGTAAAACGTTTATGCTAAATTAATCATTTTTTCTTTTCCTCCATATCTACGGAGGTTACCTGTTTTCGGAAAGGAATAGAGCGAATATTTGCGAAATCATGCCATTCAGCGCTGTCAAACTAGCTTCCTTGACAACAATTTTAAAAGTGAGCCGCTCAGTGATGCGTATCTTTATATTATGTTTGATCATGAAGGCCACTCTCTGTATGGCTAAGGCATATCATATGCTACGTAAGTTGCTTCCAAGTTAACCTATGGAAAAGACGGTTCGAAGACTAGAATAGTTATATTTGGCTAGCAAAGCTCTCTGAATCAGTAACGTTATTTCTTTCTTAAGCATAGACTAATATTATGCAAAGAAGGCATCGTAATCATAAATATCAGCAGGTTTGCTACAACACCATTATAACAAACAAATGTATGCAAACAAAATACGGCTGAAAGAAGGTGAAAGACATGATAAATGAAAGAGGGAAAGGATAAAAAAGTCACCGATAAGCTAAGATAAAGAAATAACCTTCTAGAATCCTATTCAGCAGGTAAATTAAATTATTTAAAATGAGGTCCCACCTAATGGAAATGTCTCAATCAGTTCCGATAACCGTTTACCCTTTCTGATCCTGGAAGCAGACCAGTCAGCCACACACTTCAACGTTCACGATTAGGTGCTAACGTTTCAGCTTCGATTAAAGATAACTCTAATATAGAGCAGGGTTGGCCGCACTCATTGGTTGAGCGAGTTGCCCTTCTGCCTTGATTTCTGGAAGCAAGATTTTCCAAAACCATAGCAACTTTAGAACTTTTAACCTGGAGAAGCAATGTGGAAACTCCGCCATGGCCGGTCCCAAGCCCGGACGAGAAAGGAGGAGGGTTAGAGACCGAGGCAAGTCTCCGTAAAATTCAGCCATCTGCCAGTCATGGCACGGACGCCATCGAAAATTATAGCGGCTAGATCGTCGCCCGGGTTTCAAAGGGCCGCGCAGACTGTTGGGAGACTGGCGAAGACTGCGAAAAGTCCGCCATCTGAACCTGCTCATTGCCCTCTGAGAGCAGCGGGCGTGGCGACACAACGACTGCTGACGAACACCGACCCAACGACGACGAAAATACCAGTCAGCAACGGACTCGCTATCCGTTCAGAACGGATGAGACAGACAGCGCGATGCCATTATAGCACGTCAGAAAAAGCTCCACGAAAACGACACCACCAGTGGAAGCTTA